CTAAACACACTGTTGAATAATTCTTATGTCTATAGATAGTAAGCAATGCAATGCAAAAACTGAATTATCACGAAAACCTACTCGGATTCAACGCATTAAACGGAAACTTACGATGACCAAATCACACAATAAATTACATGAAACACATGACAAGAATATTACGGAAGAGAATGATATTTCTCAACACCATTCTGCTGAGTGTCTGGCTGCTCAATCACATGAACATAATTCACAAGCAGAAAGCAGCAAAACAGAATTTCAATCTTCAGCATCAGAAACAACACATTGTATTTGTCGGAAATCATCATCATCGAGTCGAAAAAGCAAATTTTTTGGTGTATTTCATCCACCTTCCAGCCAAACTTTGTCTTCGATAACAAACGATGATTCATCATCATCACCATCAACCACTACAAATATAACTGACAGTAACACTGATTTGCCAACACCCAAAGACGATGAACGAAAAAACATAGTCCGCAGATCATGGTCACAGATGGAGGTTCGTCATCTTCGGCATCTATTTGATATACGAAGAGTCTACTGGCGAGAAATTAGACGACGAAATTCATACGCGTACACGAATTCCCAGCTGGCAAAAGAACAATTAGCTGCAGAATCCGAAATTCGTGCTAGTAATCGTGCATTGAATTCGCGTGGCGGTGATGACGATTCGGTGCTTGATTACATCTTTGGTGATATTGAAGATGATGTTGATTCATTGGCTGCTGGGCAAGACTTTGTTTCTCGTCCTCCATTGGATCTTTTTGAATTCCAGGCTCAGGTGCAAAAGGCAACGGATGTCACCTCTCGATCTCAGCAAATGCGTAGATTCAAGGCATTTGAAATATATTCGAGTGAGCATAGTTATTTGAATCATTTGCGAACTCTTAAAAAGGTAATTTTGATGTGGTTTTATTATCAAAAACTGAATAATATGAGTTTCTAATTTTACATTTCTTTTATCTAGTTATTCATGGATCCTTGTTATCAAGCTGCCAAAAAACCAAATCAAACAATGAATCCCGCTGATGTTAAAGTAATGTATGCTCACATCATTGACCTAATAAAGCTATCCAGCAAACTAGTGCACAGTCTTGCTCAGATACAGCCATGGTTAAATGTAGAATGCCGGGTCGGCGAGGTATTCCTGAAGTATAGTAAAGAATTTGAGGTTTATCAGAGATATGCCGAAAATCATTTGGATAGTCGCGCTGCAGTGAAACGTGCAGATCAAAAGATTTTGTATCGCAAGTTTATTCAGGTGAATAAATTATGAATGATAATATTTAGAAAATGAACTTTTTTATTGACATTCTATTCATTATATTTAGGAATCACAGCGTTCTAAGGATCAATATAGACTTGATCTATCAGGTTATCTGATCATGCCTATACAACGAATTTCAAGATATCGGTTGCTCCTTCAAGGTTAATATCTCGAAACACTTTTGAATTTGCAAATGCTTCTTTTAATGATCTTTATAATAATGAGATTCTTTGATTTGCTCCCTATATAGAACTTATGAATCACACACCGGAATTTCATCCTGATTTTGAAGGTTTATCACGTGCATTGAAAGATATGACTGCGCGTGTAGATGAATGCAATAGTATTGCTAATTTGCTATCCGAGAAGGGATGAGGACGATATTATCTTTAACCGATATTCGCTAATTCCCCTCCACCGACAACAATACATGCTGCGCCCAAACCACCCAGTTTTATCGCTTTGTGTCGTTTATGGGACATTAAAAATGAATCATCATCATTACCTCCATCTTCTTCATATTACCACCATCACCGTCACCCACCACCATCACGAATACAACAATGTTTT